TCTCTGTCTCTTTCTCTCTCTCTCTGTCTCTTTCTCTCTCTCTCTGTCTCTTTCTCTCTCTCTCTGTCTCTTTCTCTCTCTCTCTGTCTCTTTCTCTCTCTCTCTGTCTCTTTCTCTCTCTCTCTGTCTCTTTCTCTCTCTCTCTGTCTCTTTCTCTCTCTCTCTGTCTCTTTCTCTCTCTCTCTGTCTCTTTCTCTCTCTCTCTGTCTCTTTCTCTCTCTCTCTGTCTCTTTCTCTCTCTCTCTGTCTCTTTCTCTCTCTCTCTGTCTCTTTCTCTCTCTCTCTGTCTCTTTCTCTCTCTCTCTGTCTCTTTCTCTCTCTCTCTGTCTCTTTCTCTCTCTCTCTGTCTCTTTCTCTCTCTCTCTGTCTCTTTCTCTCTCTCTCTGTCTCTTTCTCTCTCTCTCTGTCTCTTTCTCTCTCTCTCTGTCTCTTTCTCTCTCTCTCTGTCTCTTTCTCTCTCTCTCTGTCTCTTTCTCTCTCTCTCTGTCTCTTTCTCTCTCTCTCTGTCTCTTTCTCTCTCTCTCTGTCTCTTTCTCTCTCTCTCTGTCTCTTTCTCTCTCTCTCTGTCTCTTTCTCTCTCTCTCTGTCTCTTTCTCTCTCTCTCTGTCTCTTTCTCTCTCTCTCTGTCTCTTTCTCTCTCTCTCTGTCTCTTTCTCTCTCTCTCTGTCTCTTTCTCTCTCTCTCTGTCTCTTTCTCTCTCTCTCTGTCTCTTTCTCTCTCTCTCTGTCTCTTTCTCTCTCTCTCTGTCTCTTTCTCTCTCTCTCTGTCTCTTTCTCTCTGTCTCTTTCTCTCTGTCTCTTTCTCTCTGTCTGTCTCTCTGTCTGGCGGAACAGACAGGGAGGGTACAGCTGGCTCTGCCTCTAGATAGGCAGAGCCAGCTGTCAGGCTGGGTTCACACCTAGGCGTATTGAATATGCGCGACCGTCGCGCGTTTTTTTTACCGCGATTCGCGGTAAAAGTCGCGCGATTCCGAAGGCTACTTGGCTGTATACCAATGTAAAACGCCCTACAAAACGGCCCAAAGAAGTACATGTACTTGTTTGAGCGTAGGCCGTTTTGTAGGGCGTTTCAGACGGGCGGAAATACGGAAAGGTGTGAACCAGACCCATAGAAAACAATGGGATTTTCATGTTTGTACGTTTTGTTGAGCGTTCATAGAGCGTTGAACGCGCGACAAAACGTAAAGGTGTGAACGGGCCTCAATCACTCAGCTGGGTGGATCTAGACAGTAATGTCGGGATCCGTCCTGGCTGCGACGGTCTCGGTATGCCGTGAGCTGTAGCTCGCGGTATCCTGAGCTTTGGGTGACGGGAGGACGCTAGTTTGTGTCCTCCCGTGACCCTGGGGAGAACTATGGGGAAAAGCACTGACCCCATAGTTCTCCTTTTAAACGATTTATAAATGTGTTTGTACATTCTTGTTGCTCTTGTATTCTTGTAACAAAAAAAACTATAGGCCTATATTCTTGCTGTATATTTGACACATGAACATGGTGACAGCGGTGTCTTTTTATAGGTTGTGTCTGCTCTGTGAAAGAGGAATGTGAAGCCTCTCGTTAAATTATTATTCCATGTACATAGGATCCTGCTCGGTAGTGCAGCATAGTGCGTGTGCCAGACCAGTCTGATGGCTAAACCGGGTCAGTCTGCTATTGGAATGTTCTTGCAGAAACCACTGCAATTTATTTTTAGATTACTGTAACACCTCAAATAGCCATTTTAACTTTTATGTATATGTAAAGCCTATTTTTTTCCCATTTTGGGCAGTAGGGAAATGGTAAAACCAGTTTTTATTTTTATTTTATTAATGGTTCTTTTTTGTTTTGCCATCTGCATTGCATTTGGTGATTTCCCTTCACTTCATGTCCTGCAGACACAACACAAAGGTAAAGAAAATCTCTCCCAGGTAAAGCTGGCCATACACTGACAGAATTTCGTACCATTGTGTTCATATGAAAAATGTAATCAGAACATTTGATTAAACCAATCGGAGATTTCACACACGTCCTTTTGAAATTTCATTTGCTTTTTAACATTCGATGGAATTAAATATTTAATGAATGGACTTTCCACATTTTAGCCTAATGCAATTCCCTTCTTAGACAGCGGTCACTTGAATAGGCGCCTCGATTGGAAGATTTCTCCAAATTTTAGATTTCCTTCAAATGAGAGTCGCTCTCCCAAGCTGGGACACAGAAAACAATAAAAACCTGACAGTGGCCCCAACCCATTACCACTTGATTGAAAACTTAAAGCTGAACTCCAGGTATGCAGTATACTGCATACTTGCATTGGTCCATCTTGTAAGTATGCATATGTTATACCTGATCAGCCACTGGGGTATCCTGTAAAGCACCATCATAGCCAAAAATACTATAGTGCTGGCTGTAATCTTCTTGGTCCCGTAATAACCAGCTTCTTCTCTTATGTGAAAACACAAGGGGCCACTTGCTCGGCACGGTGGCCATTCAGAGAACACCTTGTTTATTATCAAGCGCTCTGTGAGTGGACGAGGGGTGGTGACCTCATGATCCGGCCCTTGTCCATACAGAGAGCGCCGTTGTATTAATTTACATAAAAATTTGCAACTACCACCATTTTATTCTATAGGGTCTTGACATTCAGAAAATATATAATGTTGGGGGGTTTTAAGTAATTTTCAGGCCTAAAATGTGGAATATAACATGGGTAAAAAAAAAATGAAAAAAAGGCCTCAGTCATGAAGGGGTTAAAATACTGAATGGCCGCTGTGCTGAGCGAGTGACCACCTGTGTTTTCCAAACAATGCGGAAGTTGCACAGCACCATACAGGACCTAGAAGATCGCTGCCATCATTGTAGTAGCTTTGATCACAAAATATAATGTATATTTATGTATATGTTGGAAGGCTAATGTGTTAGCCTGAATTTGTGGGTGGAGTCTGCGCCTCCTTACCTCTTAAAAGCACCGCTGATCAGTCTGTGCGGGACGGGAGGTTTTCAGAGCAACCCTCCCACCCGTCCCTTGGGCCGGTACAGTCAGGAGTTTATCTCAGGTCACTCTTCACACCATCAGAGTATGCCCCCTTATTGGCATTACTGACCACCCGGGCCATGGCACACCTCAGGTCCTGTCATATAGCAATCCTCATGTGAAGTGGACTCCTTACACATATATATAGATATCCATCGATAGATATATATATATATATATGTTTTTGTTTTTTTTAAGATATATTTTTAGCTACACACTTAAACTTTGATTTTCCCGCTGAGGATTCATAACAGTTGCATTTAGTAATTCAGCTTTTAGAGGTTGCAGGGAGGTCAAAGGCAATTCATGTTAAAGGCTGGCAGACTGACCACACAGTGCACTAGACACTTGACGAAAGTAGACGATTTAGGGGTAAAGGGCAGGCTTTGTTTGGCTTCAGCATTCTGACCCTAATCCCCATTCCCCACTCAAAAGAAGACCTGTCACCACGAATTAGGACTGTGATTTAGCAGCGTACAACAAACTGTCATGCTCAATATTTGCACCATATATTTCATCTCCTTCGTCCCGTGCCTTTTGGACTCTTGAGCAGTACAAACATTTGTTTTTTTTGGAAGTGTTATTGTAAGAGTTCTAGATTTCCCACAAGCTTCATGCACACTACGTGCTTTCTGCTTTTTAACTTGAATGCCCGAGCTGCTGCAAGATGGCAGCATGGTCTGATACCTCACCTCCTATATTATGCGTGCCATGCCGAACAAAAGCTTAACTTTGGAAACTCACAGCCTGTTAGCTGCAGCATAACGTGAATGCAAGTCTTCTGAGAGTAGCTGCTTTTATACAAATCCTTTTAAAAGTCACTAAACAAAACCTTTCACTGTAAAATGAATGTACATTCCTATAAGGGGCTTAGTTCAGGGGTCTCCAACTCAATTCACTCAAGGGCCACTGGACACATTTTCTTCTCCCATGGGGGCCGCTTGCCAAATCTCATACTTCAAAATAAAATGTCACTACGTATAGTACCAGTGTCAATGTCTGTGTGTGTTTTATAATGTCGGTATATGTGTCTGTGATGGTTTCTTTGTATGCATTGTCGGTATATTTGTTTTATGTGATTATTTTTGTGTGTTTTCAGCATTTCTGTGAGTGATTGTGGTTATGTGTGTGTAATGTTTCTGTGTGTGTCATATCAGTGTGT